ATATTCCGAGCCCCGACTTCTCGACTGTGCGTATTAAACTTTGATGTTTCGAACTGTTTGCAAAAAACTCGAAATTGGATGGGGGAAAGCTTCTTCTGGGATGATCACGACACTGTTTTGCGGACACCCTGAACAATATTTCCACACTCAAGCGCGCACACACCACACACACACACACAACTCCAAAAACAGACCCTCCTACGCCGAGGTTGGGCGGTAGGGGTGTTGGCGAGCCCCTCCCACGTACAGCTGGCATCTTTGTTTTTGATGTTCAGAAGATGTTGCGCTTCAGGTTTTAGACATGTTAAACCCTTCTTGGCAGCACCTGGGTTTTGCACGGTATTTATAGCGTTTTCGTACTATCCGACCACCTGCGGTTTAGCAGTTTCTTCCCCGTCGAGCTTGCAACTCCAGCTGCTGTCGCAGCTTTGGGGCCTGAGCCCCTGCAACTTCACCGGCTGTGACAGTTAAGGAAACTGAGCTTATGCAACTTCTGCAGCTGTCACAGACAGGGAGCCTGAGCCCGTGCATCTTCCGCACCTGTCGCAGTTAAGGCGCCTAGCAGCTACCGCTGCCCAGGGCGGATGGAACAAGTGTAGTTGGGAGGGGGGGGGGGTGGCTGGTGGTAGTAGTAGTAGTAGCAGTAGTGGTAGCAGTAGCAGTAGCAGTAGCAGTAGCAGTAGCAGTAGCAGTAGCAGTAGCAGTAGTAGTAGTAGTAGTAGTAGTAGTAGTAGTAGTAGTAGTAGTAGTAGTAGTAGTAGTTGCAGTAGCAGTGGCAGTAGTCAACTTCCAGTACTAGTACTAGTTACTGGGCGGTAGTCTCAGTACAACAATAACAACAACGTCAAGGACAGCGGCATTGGCAACAGCCATGACGATGATGACAACAGCATTTGCAACAGCGGCACCAACAGCAGCAACAACAAAAGCAGCGACGACAACAACAGCACCATCAGCAACAGCAGCCACAACAACAGCAACGACGACAGCAACAGCAACAGCAGCAGCAACAACATCAAATATTGCTTCTTCTTCTTCTGCTGCTACTACTGCTGCTGCTAGTGCGACTGCTACTGCCACTACTATTAAAACTATCACTACTACTACTACTACTACTACTACTACTACTACTACTACTACTACTACTACTACTGCTACTACTGCTACTACTGCTACTACTGCTACTGCTACTACTACTCCTCTTACTGCTACTGCTACTGCCACTGCTATGGCTACTGGTACGGCTATTGCTACTGCTACTGCTGCGACTGCTCCTGGTGCCACTGCCGCTGCCACTGCCGCTACCCTGCCACTGCCACTAGCACTAAACACTAGAGCGACCACTACTCCTACCATTGCTGCTGTCATTGCTGAGCAATTTCCATTGCTCTTCTGCTGCAGTCGGTTCCTGTTTCCATGGTAGCAACGATGATGCTTGCCATGGTTTCTAGTGCCCTCTCCACTGTGCCTTTGGTGTGGCTGATCTGCCAATGCAGCTGGCTGAACAATCAAAAGCCGCCGCCGTTCCCGCTCGCAGAGAAAGCAATGGTCACCACTGAAGCCTTGATGGCATTCTCCACGACATCAAGTCAGTAGTGGAAGTGACGAAAATCGAAACTAGTGACCCGCCTGCTCGTTGTCATCTCCGTTATGCTTCTGAAGAAATGCACAGTGCCATTAGAAGCCCTTTGTTACACCCGCATCCATACCTGGCAGCTCAGGGCTGCCCACGACTTGACAGCATATGACAGCATATGTCCTTTGTCTGTGTAGGGCACCGTGGTGTGTATTAGGGGGGCATGAATCATTGCCTATACTCCTGTGGGCTCCCTTATATTATAATTGTAGTATAAGAGCCACCAAAACCCTATCCTAATTATTGGGGCCCTTAAATTACAGGCATATTCCAGGTGTTTCCTCTTCATCCCCTCGGTCTTTAAGAGCTGAGGTGGATGCAGCTTACGCGTCGAGGCGATGCGAGGGAACCATGGCACATCCTTGTAAATCCTGTTCTGCCTTTGGCTATGCACGGGATGGCTGAGTTGCTAAGAGCATCCAAAACGACCCCAGTCTACTGGCCCTCTATCAGGCTTTCGGCTTTTGGCTTCGGGGTTGGCAAACTTCGAAGCCTGAGCCCTAAGCTTGCCGAAACCTCAGCCTTAGGCAAGGGCTGTGCAAGTCCCGTGGAGTGTGTAGCTCGGCGTCCGGAGGCTCGTTGAAACCGATCGAAGTATTCCAGTCAGGAGTGAAGGGGATGGTTAGTGTAATAGTCTCATGATTGTTAATGTACCGGGGCATGCAGCAGAACATGTACTTGCTGGACAGTGAAGCATGGCCTCCACCCCAAAAGCCCTACACCGTAAACCCCAAGCCCTACTGTGGTGAGGGTCAAAATTTAATCCGAAACCTCCGGGGATCAGCTGCGGATCTCAGAGCCAAAGGGCAGACTGGCTTCTTCTTGAAGAGTCATAATCACAAGGGTTTAGGGTATAAGGTTTAGGGTTTAGGGGGCTTAGGGGTTTAGGGTTTAGGCTGTCGCGGCTTAGGGTCGGGCTTAGTGCCTCGCCTTCGGCATCAACAGCAACACTTAAGGAAGTATGGCTGCATGTGAGGTAGCCGTTTAAAAGACCCAAACACCTCTTGACTAAGTTGCTTACAACTTGACTTAACCGCCCATGTGCCGTCAATGAGCTGTGGTAGATTTTGACACTATTTGTCTTCGGTGCTCACTTATCGTGTCCCGGGCTGTCGATGACGCAGAAGAGCTTCGGGTTCAGTCGGTTTGAAACCTTTGGCCCAGACGCTCTCATCAACCCTGCAGTCCTCAAGACCCAAAGTGCGGACGTCCAGTTCGGCAGCCCTGTGACCACCTGAACCCCAAAAAACCTGCCGTCTTCGGGTTCCTTATTAATTATCAGGATTTCCTTTGTTCGTTGAAAAAGTAAACTGTCGAATTAAGGTATACCATAAGAAGCTTAACCTTTAAACCTTAAGCCTTAAACCCTGAACCCCATTGGCCTTTGCCCGCTGCCTCGGCTGCGGGAAAGGGATCGATGCAGAATCGAAGTGTCCGCGATAAACCCTAAATCCTAAACCAAGGCCTCCTTTACATCCCAGCAACAAGGCAGCTTCGAGGGGGTCTCAACGCAGCTGGCGGCACAACTGGGCGCCACCGGCGAGCGCTGCTTCCACCGGGAGCTCAAGGCGACAGAAGACGTTAAGAGTTTAAGGTTACGAGGGTTCGGGGACGGGTAGGGTCTAGTCGGGCAGGCCTTGGGATGATTCGAGTTGGAGGCTTTTGGAAGGGGGTTGCTTCTCTTTCTGATGATTCCGGAATTGGGTGCCCTTGAAGCACTTTAAACTTGTCACTTGACCATGCGGCTTGCTGATTGGAACAACGATGAACAATGGATTTTCAGCCCGAGCGGAGGGGCTCATGGCTTCGGATCATAAATTGGCTTCAATATTGCAGCCTTGACCGGTTTGACCAGCTGCCATTATAACCCTAAGGGTCCATGTGCCCAAACAGTAGATACTTTGGCCCCAAAGTTCCTAATTATATAGGAACTACTGTAAGGCCAATGTACATACCATTTTCGTACATGGACCCTTAGGCATTACCAACCCAGACAGAAAAGGTGAGTTGCAAGATCCAAACCACATTATTCTGCTTCCAGTTATGCTAGTTGGTCTTGCCGTGTGTATGACGTGTATATGTTTGTCTGCTGGTGAGGGTCGTGCCATGTGCTTCATGAATCTTTTCTATGTACACTCTACATGTTTGTGTTTCAGGTGCAAACACATATCATGCATACAGACACACATGCCTTTACATGCTACCCCATATACTTTTGGAGCCCTAATACCTACTAAGTACGTACCACAATTTTACTCGAACCCTTACTGTAATTCCTACTATAGAAACCCTGCATTCAACTACAATGGTACTTGGACCCTTTTGGTACATATACCTTCACCACACCTCCCTACAGGAAGTAATTTAGGGGTTTATGGTTCCTTCAAGTTCGGTTTAATTTAGGGTTTAGGCCCTCGAGTCTTATGGCACGAACCTTGGCTGGATACTAGATTTGTGGGTTCCACAAGACAGGAAGCCGTCGGGGTCAGCGTTCAGTGGTTCACAGGCTAACTCTCAAGTCCACAAACCTCGCAACCCGACCTGCGATTAGAGACCGCGCCTTGTCAACAAACCAAAACTCTAAACCTCTACAAACTGCTAAGCCCTGGTAACTTGTGACCGATCTACAGTACCCCCTAAGACCCCCAGGACAGGAACTTTCCTCCTTGCAGCGTCGATTAGTGGGGAAAGGGTTGGTTTCGCCATTCCGTTCACAGTGTACTATATATAAGGGCCTTACCCGTACAATTTTGGGGGTTCCTTCTTCTTATGGTATAATGGGCCCCAAAACCCTATTCCAATTATGGATGCTCCTAGTTTAGGGTGTGTAAACTGACACTCTTAAGGTCAGAGCAATCTACCATTGTCTAGTGTAGCATACACCCGTAGCCATGCATGAATTACCTATTATGAGGCAGGGTCGCACACAGCATCCAGACAATCCGTCTTCAAGTTCGAGATCATTGGGTTCAGGATTGCTTTCCAGGATCTTGCAATCCTACTCCTAAGCCCCGAACCCCTTAACGTTATCCCAAGGCTGATACGAGAATATACCCCAAACCACTCTTCTACATTACGGAAACCGTGTAGGGTTAAAGGTTTAGGGGCGTGTATTGCCTATGACAACCTGCCTGCAGAACCCTTCAGAGCCGGACTCAAGGGTTCAAGTCATGCTTCACGGCTGCATGCCCAATCATGGAGGCCAGGTCCTGGCCTGCCCGACATATGGGAGTGCAAACCCTAAGCACTGTCCCAATACCCCTGGATGTAATGGCAGAGAGAGAGAGAGAGAGAGAGAGAGAGAGAGAGAGAGAGAGAGAGAGAGATAGAGAGAGATAGAGAGTCCAAATCGTCTCACTCCCCCATGGCTTTCTGGAGAGATGTTTACTTTGGCGGCAAGCGCGGCGGCAGGCGCTCGAGAGGAGAGGCAGGGCGGTTGGATATTTCATCCCCTGGCCTGTTTAGCGTTATCCTGTGGCCTTGCCGTAGCCTGTGGGGTGTGTATCTATATATATATATAGTATATATATATATAGTATATATATATATATGTATATATTTTATTATATATATATTCATATCTATCTATATATATATATATATATAGATATATCCCTTTTCTTATGCAAGGTGAACTGGGGTCCTCAGCAAGTTCCTTGGGTTGGTGTTTATCTTCCTTTCGAATTTGTTTTTCAGCTTATAGGATCTGCGCTTTGGGTTTCGGGGTCTTCCTTGAGCTGGTTGCCTGGGCCTATCCTGGCCGAGGTGCAGGTTCGACCTGGGTTCGGGGTGCGGTACGGGGAGCCGACTGGGACTGACGTTCCGCTGCCTGTGGAAATACCTCCGCGGCCGCCGGGCGTTTTGGCAGCAGGAGCTCCTGTAACTGTGGGGCCTCGTCCAGCAGTTATGCCTGCTGTTCCTCGGTCCTATATAATATAGACACTTGGTACTATGTTAGCAGGGATCAATTTTTTATTTGGTGAGAACAAGATTGCAAAGCACGTTTTGGAAGCTTCTTTCATAGTTCAGGCACCACCGGTGGCGGAGGAGGCGGCACCGGCGGACAACGTGCCTGCGGAGGCACCCCAAGTGCCTCAGCATTCTTATGCAACACTCCTTTACCTTGACGTGTTGTGTTGAAGAGTAGTCAGTATATAACATATTTAGATTGTAATCGGAGAGTTTAAACTATTATTCCAAGGGTTCAACTTACCGAGCTTTTGAAAGTTGATCCTAAGCTGTTGGCCAAGCCATGAGGCACCGGCCGCTCCTGGTCCTGCATCTGGAAGCAGATCTTCCTCTTCTGCAGAGCTGCCAGCTTCTGCAGAACCCACGGTGCAGAGTCCAAACAACATGCGTAGGTCCGAAGCTCTGTAGGTAGCTCCGCCCGAACATACATTATCGAAATCTAGACACCCGGATTCCTATAATAATACCCAGGCTAGGTCAAGTCCATCCCTGAACACCCGGACCCAAATCGGCCAAAGCCAAACAGAGTTCACCGTTGATTCCGAATCATGAGACCCTCAGGCCTCGGCGGCGGGGGCTGGTGCGGCGGTTGCACCAGTGGCAGCAGTGGCAGCGGCGGAGCATGGACATGTTCCGGCGGGACCTGCTCCGGCGCCAGCTCGCGCCGATGACGACAGTTGGCGGGCACCGGCCACTCGACCGATTCATCTATGTGGACTCCTCAAGCCTAAGCCCTAAACCCTTCACTTCTATAGGTACACACTACTCAAGGAAGGAGCACAAGCGTCGCTTTCGGGCACTGATCTATGGGTACCGGTTTCGTGCCATTTAGGCACTCGTCAGCCATACAACTGCGGTAAGCAGCTGTTGATCAGTGTTAGCCTGGACATTGTGCTGCTACTTTATGTGCATGCACATAAAAAGTAGCTGCACAAAGCCAAACTGAGTTCACCGTTGATTCCGAATCATGAGACCCTCAGGCCTCGGCGGCGGGGGCTGGTGCGGCGGTTGCACCAGTGGCAGCGGCGGAGCATGGACATGTTCCGGCGGGACCTGCTCCGGCGCCAGCTCGCGCCGATGACGACAGTTGGCGGGCACCGGCCACTCGACCGATTCATCTATGTGGACTCCTCAAGCCTAAGCCCTAAACCCTTCACTTCTATAGGTACACACTACTCAAGGAAGGAGCGCAAGCGTCGCTTTCGGGCACTGATCTATGGGTACCGGTTTCGTGCCATTTAGGCACTCGTCAGCCATACAACTGCGGTAAGCAGCTGTTGATCAGTGTTAGCCTGGACATTGTGCTGCTACTTTATGTGCATGCACATAAAAAGTAGCTGCACAAAGCCAAACTGAGTTCACCGTTGATTCCGAATCATGAGACCCTCAGGCCTCGGCGGCGGGGGCTGGTGCGGCGGTTGCACCAGTGGCAGCAGTGGCAGCGGCGGAGCATGGACATGTTCCAGCGGGACCTGCTCCGGCGCCAGCTCGCGCCGATGACGACAGTTGGCGGGCACCGGCCACTCGACCGATTCATCTATGTGGACTCCTCAAGCCTAAGCCCTAAACCCTTCACTTCTAGGTACAAGGACAAAAACATCGCGCAGGTGCTGGCCTCTACGGTCGAGAAAGAGGTGCCACTTCTGAACGGGTGGCGCTGGATTCGGCTATCCGATGGGGTTGAGTACTTCGAGCATCAATATGGCCAAGTGATCAGTTTCAAACGACCTCTTTCTTTTCCATTCGCGCCTCGGCTTCTTTGGTTTCTTCCTTCTCGGATTTTTGTCGTACCGAAGATTGGGTTTCAGGTAATCCGCCGTGATCAGCCGGAAGGACAGGGCGACTTGAGTCCATGGGAACTATGGACGATGTGGTTGCAGCCCGAGCAGAAGTGGTGGTACAACCCTCAGTCCAAGCACTCCGCCCCCTTTGAAACATTCGCCCCTTCGCTCCCTGTGATTCATGTTTCTTTTGGCTTAGTGCCTGGGGTTTAGTATGGTTTAGTGAAAAAGGTTTTAGGGCCTATTCCAGACAACTGAGGCGGACGCTCTAGCTTTGGCTCGCGAGCGTCTTTATGAACGCCTGCGGACGAAAAGAGTGCACGAGGACGCCAAGGCGATGGAAGAGTTGGTGCGGCGCCGGAGAGCAAGAGAAAAAGGCTTCTTCTGACTTGACTAGACAAGCAGCAGCATATCCCGCTAGTGCAAGTGACAGCTGTGGGGTTCGCTCAGATCATGCACTCAGGATTGGCAATCTAGGGGGTTATACGGGTTTAGGGCTTAGGGCTGCAAGGAGGTCTCCATCAAGAGTTACGTTCAGGATTGTGTCGTATTGTTGTTCTAAATTCTTGTTGTAGATTCGTTTTGTGGTTGCACAATAGTTCCTGGTTCCATAACCCTGAACCCCGCACCTTGAAAGGTATAACGGAATATGAGTGGCGAAGTTTTTGCATAATTTCGAAGATTCGATGTAATAGTTGCAGCCAATAGAACTTTAGTGTTCAGGGTTGAGTTCGCTGGTCGGCACCCCTGGTGCTGAAAGGGTTGCCCTACCCAACCAAGCGCTGCAGGCTTTCAGCCTAACCCCGGGAAAGCTGAACCCCACACGGATTTACAGAGTGCTACAAAACACTGGGCTGCGGACTTGATTACTGTTTCCAGACTCAAAGCTCTGCTAAATCAAGGTGAGGTCTCGGGTTCAGGATGTGTATTACTATGTAAAATACTCGGGATTGAAACGGGCTTGAGAGTTTTTGGGGTTCAGAGCTTCAGGTTTGTCTCCAAGACCGGGCCTGTCAACGGTGCCATATCGGAACCAATACATGTTAGCCGGAGTTTCGTGAAGCTGAGCCCTTCAGCACAACCTCTGAAACCTGGAGCCCACAAATCCGATAACCTTACACTGTGCTTCACCCGAAGTTGCATGTCTCGGCTGCGTCTAGATCCCTGCACCTTTGTCACTTGAGCCTGTGCCAGCCTGTGCAGTTCTTCCAAATATACAACACCCAACCCTAAACCCGGCTTTGTGCGAGAGTGGGAGTGGAAACCCTAAACCCAAAAACCACCACACCCAAACAAGCCCCAACAATCATGCCGAAGGCCCCCAAAGATTCAACATTTATCGACTGGACGTGGACGGGCCTGCCCTGACGACACGGCGAAGAAGGCGGCGGTGTGGCCACAGTGGCGGCTGCCAGGTGACGCAGTTGCTATTCTTGTGAAACTCAGTGATGCATTCGTGATGACGCGCATCACTCAAGTTATGATGATTCGCGCGCTACGTGCTGTCATGTCTATGAGGGGTTCCGGGCTTGAGGTTTGGAGGTCCACAGGTTCTGCGTGATTCCGGCTTACTTCGTGCTTTGAGGTGGCTTCACGGTGCAGGGCCTCGAGCTTCAGTGTTCGACTCTTGCAGTTTAAGGTTTAGGACGGGGTCTTTGAGCTGCACAAGGTTCCGTTTTGAAGTGTGTATGGGTTTCACTGAGGTCTCAGAGCTTCAGAAGGGCCCGGCTTGCGAGGCTTAATTTTGCTAAAGCCTCCGTACAACAATGAACTTGCACATGACAGAGAACCTTTGCATGCGCGCTTGGGGGACCGCATACCCCAAAACTCTGGGTGCGGAGTTAACAAATAAGAAACTAAACCGGTTAAGTCACAGGAACTGCTGGATGCTATATGATGGTCCATGACTGGGACGCACATTGTGGCAGATAGAGGCCCCGGAGCGGCTAGTGGGTTCTTCTTAAGGGATTTAATTTAAGCTACCGTAATTACTAATCGTTAGTGAAGTAACGATATTATCTACTATAGTATTATGGCAACTTAAACTACATCCCTTATCAAGAACCCATGCTTCAGTGGGGAACTCAATGCAATATTGTTGTCCCGTGATTAAACAAAGCCTCTTGCATTTAGGGGCCTTACGGTGGCCTTACTCTGAGGATGCAAAGTAGTCCTTACTCTGCTAGACGGTTTGAGGGGAAGAGGGCCAACTACGGCAACGACGGGTCGACGCACACGTTCGCAAATCCCAAACCCTACGCAGTCCCTCGGGCTTCAGACCGTGCACTTTACCTTCAGTCGCAGCCCAACACCTAGCCACCCAAAACCCACCAAAATCCAAAACAGCAAGCCGAAGCGCTGAACCCGCACCCCCCTGCCCCATACCCCGGTCGAGCGATGCGGGAGCCAAAAACCATTTCAACAAAAAAACTCTCGGACCGCCTCGGACCCAAAGGTGCCAAGATTCTGCAGGCCACGGCCCCGGAACTTCTACCCGACCTGAGCCGTGGCTGCCCTTCGCAGTTGGGGGTTTGGGGTAATTTAGAGTTATGGTGAGTGTAGGACAGTTTGGCAATCTACGGCCGTTTGTGGGTTGCCTACACCAGGGATGATTTCTGCAAGCGGAGCCCTTTCGTCACATAAGTTTATGCCGTTAAGACCTGACCGACATGGTTACAAATGCCGAACCAGCTTAAACATCTTAGCGTGTCCACTGCATGATAGTATGTTACTGCCAAGCAAGCGCTGCAGGCAGAAAGAGATAGGACGTCGATGGCAGCTGGCCTTCAGAAACAAGGGCTTTTGGAACGAAAGTAGTTTTGGATGTGCTTGGCCCTGTTGCAATCGCGGTGGTGACTTTTGTGCCTTCCTCTTGGGTATGATCCACCTGTCTGTTTCGTCATCTGGTGCCGTACGGCGCACAGTCAGCCAAATCATACCATGGACAATACCTCGGGGAGCCTAGTATAGAATACAAGTATACGGGAAGATACTCCAAAACACCATTCAAAGGTGCATGGAATCCCAGCCCTAAACTTTCGCTAAACCACTGGAGATTGCCCCCTTCTGCGCCCAGGTTCCTGGTCATCCGGGGGCTCATCAACTTAGCTGTTAACGGTGCGTGGCCACTGGCTTTGAGTTCGAGGCAGCGAGTGTGGTCCGGTTTAGGGTTTAGGGTTCAGGGTTCAGGGTTTAGTGTGAGTATGGTGTGTGAATAAGAATCCGAATCGTGTGGTTTTGGACCCAAGAGCTCTGCCCCAGGTTTTTAGGATCCTCTGCTGCGGCAGCAGAGGATCTGGGGTGCGGCAGCACAGAATCCTATGGGGTAATGTTTGGGAGCGCAGTGCAGTATGACGTGGCCTCTGTGAAGGAAAACAGTGTGGCCTCACTTCTGCTGATGTCCCCTCCATCTCGTTGCTCTTTGCATTCCTGTCTTCTTTTTGTTTTTCTGTATGTTCCTGACATTGTTACAACGATCAGCCTGGTATGTTGAAAAGCATGGTTCTCAAAGCCCTCAACCCGACATGCATGAACCCTACCTACACACTAAATCTTCAAAACCGGAATGTAAGACCCAATTCCCCCTCAAACCATGAACCCGGAATAGCCCTGGCAAGTTCAGTGCCATAGACACTTCGATGGTTCGGGGTTTAGGGAATACTGTTAAGCAGGGTCTCGTGGAGAGCTGAGGGCAGAAGTTGCCCTTCAACCTTGAACCCTGAACCCCAAATCTAAACACGCAAACATCTCCTCAGCCGCCGAGAGGTCTTTCCACCATGAATTTGCAGGCATTCCTGGGCCGCTCGCCGTGCAAGATGTTGTGCTTGGGGTTAAGTTCCACGGATGCTAATATCAGTTTCACCTGTGAGTATAGCAGCGCTTGATTCTGCTGGATCCGTGCAAACTTCAGATCACCAAGCATGTGAGTAGGTTGTTTGTTGCCACACTCACCTGGCAATAATTATAGAAGCCCGTATAACTGATAATCTCGAATAACTGATAATCTCTGTTTGTAGGCTTCACTTGTATACCTATGCTCTATATGACAACCCCAAGTACGATGCAATTCAATACGGCCCCTATCCCCAAGGCATTCTGCTTGGAAACCCAAGTTCATCAATAACCCAGCCACACATCAAACAAAATCGGCGTCCATAGTTATATTGTCGGGGCGCTAATGATAAGAACAGCATTTGGGGGTATAATGAAATACTGTTGTATATACTAGCTGTTTGAAAGCTTTAATAGGATGCCATTGTGATTTTCCGACCCTTATATTCACGCCTAGAACAAACAGGAGCCCTTGCATAGAACCGTAGATCGTAGGTCCACTATGAAAGAACCTCCCCCCCAGCGAAAGACAGCACACGAAATTTCCCAGACTTCGATACCTGAGCCTAGGATTAAGGGTTTAAGGATTTAGGATTTAGGGTTTGAAGTAGGGTTTGGGGTTTAAGGGTTTAGGGTTCAGGGGTCTGGTATCCTGGGCCGTTTAGCTGGGTGACGGTTCCTCAGGTAGCCTTTTTCAGGATTTAGCTAGTAGCCAACGCTTCTCGACTTCTTATGCTTTTGTACCCTTGTGCTCCTTTCACATTGATGACCTTGACATGTCAGTTTGTTGCCAAGTTTGCCTTCGCCAGTAGAAGACTTGATCCCTCTACTTCCGTAGTGGCACACGCAGGTAGGCTACTGTCAACCGTTGCCCCCCTACAGCTGTAGATCAACAGATCCGTGAACGCCCCACACCCTAAACCCTAAACTCCAAACCCTAAACCCCAAGCCCTTATCCCTAAAACCGAAGGTGTTGAGCAGGCCAACGCTTCTCTTTGCCGAGCAGTGCTTCTCGATCTGCACCTGGAGTTCTACGCACACAACCCCCGAAACCTAAGCCAGAAAGCCAAACCCCGAAGGCCAAAGCCCTAAACCCGAAACCTTAGCTCTGAAACCTCAAACCCTAAGCCGTAAACCCTGGAGCTTCAGGGAGCCATTCCGGGCGTGGTTTCATTCTGGGCTTCGGGGTTAGGAGTTAGGGCTTAGGATTCGGGTTTAGGGTTTAGGATTCAGGCTTTAGGGTTCATATCTAGGGTTTTAGGGTTGGGGGGTTCGGGATTTAAAGTAACAGTTATGGTTTCATCTTCGGGTGATAGGGTTTGCAGTTTCGTGCCGAGCGAAGGCGCGCATTCTTGGGGGTTTTGGGATTGAGGGTGCAGGGTTCGGCGTGGAAGTGAAGTGAACAGTGAATGTCAGGTTTCGTCGGCTTTCCCGGACGTTATGACGGTTTAGATTTTAATTGGGCTTTAGGGTCTACCTATGGTTCGGGGGTTTAGGGTTTAGGTTGTAACATGAAGGTCTACAGATTCTTGGCCACAGTTCTTCGAGGTCTTCTCGATCATGTGCTTGTAGACTGGACTTATTTCCCGACGACCGGTAGATGCCTTCCGCACCGCATAAAACGGTAGAGCTTGTCACCATCCTTTGTATACAGGTGGTTCTTTGCCCTTTTTGCCGGTGCGTCGCTCAGCGTGTCACTGACGAAGCATTGCACTGTGGCAATGACGGTCGTAGCACTGCACCTGCAATCGCCGTAGTTTCTGATGTTATCTGTCTGTGTGTGTATGTGTTGAAAAACAACGGCCTTCCGGTTGCAGTTGCAAGATCGATGTAATGCAGGTATATAGTATCTCAAAGCCCGAGAACGCTTTCAGGCTGATGGATTTTTCAGATCCTGTCTTTGCACAAGTTAACCCCAAGTCAATCTATCTGTTGAGCTATACAAATCCAAATCCCGAAGACATGAGCCCCGCCAGCTCGCTAACTACTGCCCAAGACGAATGATCTCGCGCCCTTATCCACGAAACTCGCAGTACCAAGTCCGCTATAAGCCCGCTGTTCTGAACTCTGCTGGTGCTAAGCTTCAAGGCCCAATTCCAGATTTCCTGAACCTGGATCCCGACAGACAGAACAGACCAACACTTTTCCTGCACCACAGAATATATGTCGAAGTCACAAGAGTTACAAATACTATTCCATAGGGTTCCTTGTGATAACCAGAGCAGAACAGACCCCAGCACCTTATTCTAATTAAGTACCAACTACATTCCACGAACCCGTAGAAAAAAGCAAAACCAACCGTAGAGGAAGCCACAAACACAATTCATCCCCAAAAAAGGCCCTTATATGTAACTATATGTAGTATCAGTCCCCCAGGTCTGACCCTACACTTGATTATGGTATATTCGTTATTATGGGAAATTCAGGATGGGCATATAATCAGGAATATGCGGTACCATCATATATCATCAGCCGTATCTTGACCACCTCAAAGTCAGACGAGGTGGCACCGCCCCGGTTTTCGCTGCAGCAGTATCTATCATGGCCTCCTCGTGGTTTCTCTGCGGACTTGGCGGAGCTGCCTGTCTGCTAGTGTAGAAGCCTACCAATATTATTTCTCCCAGGGTTTCGTTAAAGGGGTCTATGAGGGTAACTATAAGGGATCTATAAGGGTACTATAGCATGGGGGCCGTAATAGTTACCAGTGCTATTTTGGGGCTCCCATTGTTAGTTATAATATGATATACCCCAAAACCAAGTCTAATTGTCAAGGCCCCCATATTACCAATAGTGTTCCTTAAGTCCCCACATCATAACTGTATATGACAAAGAAGCCCAGAAACCTAGTTTAAGGCCCACGGTGGCTCCAAAGGCACACTTGCTCGTCGTCCCGTATTTGGAGAACAGGATATAGCCCCAAGAACAAGAACTGCAAGGCGTAAACGGCTTCTGCCAGCACACCGTGCAGTTCCATGTGGGTGGTTGTCAAAATTATGGTCCCTTTTTGGGTACCCTAAATATTAGGTGCCGTATTATAATAAGGACCCACAAAGGGACCCTAATTTCGACAACTACCCATGTAGCAGCTCATCGGTTCAGGGTTTGGGAGTTTATGGAAGCTTTTGGCTGACCTAGCGGTTTAGATGTCCGCCTTCTAGCATTTGACCAAAGCCCCTAAATCCTAAAAGACTATACTAAACTGAAAAATCTCAACCATCACCTATTTCCTAGAAAGCTGCACCCCATAACTCTAACCTTAAAGTCCTGAAGCCCAGACCCTACAATCCTAAATCCCCAGACGCTAAACCCTAAATTTTCACACCTATACACCCTAAATCCCTAACTAAGCCTGATATTTCCTAAGCTGCTAAACCCTAAACCATAAAACTCTAGACCCTAAGATCCTAAAATCCTAAATCCCCAACCCGAAATCCCACTCAGATCTGCCCCGCCGTGGCGCAGCGTCTCTTCTGGATCTTCGGCGTAGGCACTTTCGGCGGCTCGGCAAGCTCATCTGAAGCATGGTTCAGACTTTCAGTTTAGATAGTTCCTTGGTGGTCCTTATGGAGGTACACGGTAATAACAATTAGTACACCCATAAACCCTGGCCTAGTTGTTGAGACCCCGGTATTCGACACCTTGGCAGAGGACGAACTCGAGCCCTGGGATGTGGGACTGAGCATCCGTGCCAACGTCCTGTGCCCCCATATATGCCTCAAGCGCTAAACCCTAAGCCATGTACATAAACCTTAATCCTGAACACTCCAGGCGTGGCGTATGGGGTCCACGCCGCGCTTCGGCATCTTGGTGGCAGCCGCAGCCGCTACGCCTAGCGTGGTCTTCGGCGCCAGCGTGGTGGACGCCCGCCTCAATGAGACTGTGTGATGCCGTTGTGTGAACTACATGGGCGGTTGTCGAAATTATGGTCCCTTTTTGGGTCCTTGGTATAATACGGCACCTTATATTCAGGGTACCCAGAAAGGGACCATCAGTTTGACAGCCACCCACATGCAATCCAGGCCGCGGGCTTTCGTACTCATGAATCTTGAGCACTATCAGGAGCTTCAGGGCACCGGGTTGGCATTGAGAAATGAGAGGAGCCCGGATGGGTAAGTTTCCACTGGGTCGAGGAAAAAGATGTGTCAAGTTTGCCTCTGAGAAAGTTTTCTTGTTCACCAAAGGACAGAGGCAAGGTCGTTTGAAACAGTGGTATAGGCACTTCAAAGATTGGCATGTGCTCTGTTTTTTTTGCATTGGGGTTTGCCGGCCACTTCCTGATGTCTTTCACCTTTTCCTCCGCAGCACGGTCCAAGATGCTGATGTAGGGTCAGATTACAAGGGCAGCAGCGAGAGAGGCAGCAATGAAGCACAGGCCAATCAGAAGGTTGGGTTCGTCGAATTTTGTGGTGGGAGCCGCTGGTTCCGCCGACGTCGCTTTCATGTAGTGGCCCGGTCGCTTGCCTGTCCGGCCCAGGCGGCTGCCTCAGTCACTCAGTCAGCACACCAGAACCACGATGCCAGAAGCCATGGGGTTCTGAGGAAGGCGACCCATGGTCGCCTTGGATGAGGTTGGTCCGGCTGCCGACTTCGGATCCTTGTGCCTCGGCTGCTGTGGGCATCGCTTGGACAAGTGTGAGTGGGCTTGGATGGAGTCAGGGCGCTGAGGAGTGTGTTTCTGGGCGTGGGCGTTCCGGGCGTGCCGGTCGCCGAGCGTGGAGCCCACCTTAAGGCACAGGTTGTCCACAAGACTAACCACAAAAAATAAGCGACCTGGGATTGCGGAAGTGTGCAGGTGCCACTGCCGCTGCCCACGCCTACAACATCCGCCAGGCAAGACTCCGTACAGCCGTAGCAGCAAGATGCCAGTAAACGGCAGTATGGCACCCTCAGCAACAATTTGCCTTCAGGCTCATCTCGTCGATCGCATTCGATCACAATTGGGACAATGGTGGGTCTTTTTGAACTTCCGTCGCCACGCATCACCACGCCCAGTGACGAGGATGCCGAAGCAGCTCGGATGCAAAGTGATCTCCGACGAGGATGGCGAGGTCGCGGAGCTCCCGGGCCCCGGGTCCCGGCCAGGCAGCTCTTTCTCAGCTAGAGGTCAGAGTTATCTCTTGCGCAAGCGCGGTACGTGCAGGTGGGCATCAAAACTCAGCCGGTGCTCTTCAAGAGCCTTGGCATGAGAGGCAATTCCAAGGACGCCTCTTCGAGAGAGCGGCATGTGTTGAGTCTTTACGGCAGTTATGTATGCCCAAGTTGCGGAGTTCGAAAGCTTCACTGGAAGCCCAAAAAACGGCAGTTGGAGCATGGTGCACTGATACTCAGCCTCTGGCGGTCTCAGATCGCTGGGCTTGGTACCGTGAACGAAGTTCCGGCCGGAAGCTGCTTCGGTGTCTGATCCTCAGTCATCTTGCATGCACTTCGTTGCTTGCATCATCTCTGTAACTTTTCCGCGGCTCTGTGCACGCTTCCAGGAGCGGACGCTGATCGGCATCGCCAAAGAGGCGAATGCTACAGTCCGGGCGTGGGGCCTGGAGATAGTGCTGAACGTTGAGAAAGACGTCAGAGCTCTCTTGCCTTGCTTCGAGGTGTTCACTCCCTTCGCGCTTGTCCTGGCGATTGCCAGGCGGCGATGGCCAACTGTTGAGAGCTTTTATGAGCTCTGTGAGCTGTGGGGATCTGTGGGGTGTTCTTCTCTGCTGTGGCTGTGGCTTCCTTCTCTCTGAAAGGCGGTCTCTGCACCTTGGCCCCTCAAGAAGCACCCTGTTGAGACGGCGCGCCGGGGGGAGAAGAGAGCAGAGCCCTTGAGGGAAACAGTCTGCGGGTTGTTTCGCAGGAGCACTTTGACTCCCCACAGGGTGGCCGCATCTCGGGCAGCAAGGTGCGGCGCGGGAGCAAAGCCAAAGCTGCGAAGGAGATCAGTATCTCATTCAGCGAGGTCCGCTAGCCGATCGCTTTCGCAGCTTTCCTGCAAATTGAGTTGTGAGCGTATTTCGCAAGACGGGTTTTCTGGAAGCCTTGAACGCTCGTGTGACGTCTGCCATGTACCTGCACCGGCCTTACGTCTTCCCTGAGCCTTGCGAGCCGCCGATGCGCTGCACTGAGAAGGCACGGGCAGACGGTGGTGGTGGAGGGTTGCGTCGAGCAGGATCCTTGCATGTTTGTGCTCTCAGGCCGGGAGTGGTAGTGCTGCATGATGCCGCCTTCTGATATTGGTCGTGAGCGGAGCGAGCCCCCCCAGGCGGCATCGTCGTTGCTGAGCGCGACGGCTGCGCCATCG